GGGGGCGGCCGGGCCCGGCCAGGGGTGCCCGGGGGATCCCGCGGCGCCGCCGCCGCTCGCCCCGCTCCTATTGACTTCCCATTGTGGAGCTTCGCAACAAAGGGTAGGATCCAAACCCTGCCCCGTTTCGTCCAATCAGCGCGCAGAGCGCCCACCCGCCACCGATTGGATGCTTCTCCTCCCTCAATACCCAATCGGACGCCTACTTTAACAACCAATCAGCGCCCGGCCGCGCGCCCAATCAGCGCGGGGGAACCGGAGCACGGCCTTTGTGTGTGGTGACGCGACGGCGCCGGCGGAGGTCCCGGCCAATAACGCGGCGCGTTGCTTACAGGCATTGTGACGTCACCGCGCCGCGCGCGCGCCCCCACTATAAAGTGCGTGTCCCCGCGGCGGGGAGGGCGCAGTGAGCGGCGCGGCGGCTGAGGAGCGGCTCGGGCAGCAGCAGCACAGCGTAGAGGCTTCGGCGCGCAGCGCTATCGGCACCGGCGCTTTCGTCTCTTCCTACCGGTAAGTACCGGACAGCGGGCGCGTCTCGAAGCGGGCGGTGGTGTTGCGCGGCCGTTCGTGGCCTTGGGTTCTCCCGGAGCGCGGCGGACAGGCCGGGCCTTGCCTACGTGCCCTGAGTCACGGCCGGTTCCCATCCCCCCACCATTGCACCTCCCCCCCCAACGCCGGAGCGGCCCGGGAGGAAGGAGGAGGCGGCGTGACTCAGTCCGCTTTCCCCGGGGAGGGGAGCGGCTGGGCCGCGAGGCGGGGGCGGCGGGGTAACCGTTACTCCTCCTCCCCGTCCCGGGGGAGGCCGCTGGCCGCCTGCCCGCGGCGGGGGAGGGGGGCGCTTGGAGCGTGAGCGAATTGGCCGCTGCGTCGTCGGGCCTGGGTGTCCCGGGGAGAGCCGGGCCCCGGTGTCACGCGTGTGTGTCTCTGTAGGTAAGTGAGGAAAAATGGCCCGTACAAAGCAGACCGCCCGCAAGTCCACTGGGGGGAAGGCGCCGCGCAAGCAGCTGGCCACGAAGGCGGCCCGGAAAAGCGCCCCCTCTACCGGCGGCGTCAAGAAGCCTCACCGCTACAGGTAAGGCCCTCGGCTCGGCCCCGGCTGCCGCAGCCCCTGCCCCGCCTCACCGCCCCCTCCTCCCTCTTCCATCCAGGCCGGGAACCGTCGCGCTCCGTGAGATCCGTCGTTATCAGAAATCCACGGAGCTGCTGATCCGCAAGCTGCCCTTCCAGCGGCTGGTCAGGGAAATCGCTCAAGATTTCAAAACAGATTTGAGGTTCCAGAGTGCGGCCATCGGGGCTCTGCAGGTACTGCTGAGGGCCGGCTGGGCTGCGGCGCTGGGGGAGCTGCGCTGAGGGGTTTTTAACAACATTTCTTGTGCTCTTGAAACAGGAGGCGAGCGAGGCATATCTGGTGGGTCTGTTTGAAGACACAAACCTGTGTGCCATCCATGCCAAGAGAGTCACCATCATGCCCAAAGATATCCAGTTGGCTCGCAGGATACGGGGAGAGAGGGCTTAAGTGAAGGCTGTTTTTATGGTGTTTTGTAGTTAATTCTGTAAAATACTTTGGTTTTAATTTGTGACTTTTTTTGTAAGAAATTGTTTATAATATGTTGCATTTGTACTTAAGTCATTCCATCTTTCACTCAGGATGAATGCTAAAAGTGACTGTTCACATAAACCTCAGTGATGTTGAGCCTCGGGCTCGGGAGTGACAAGTTGCTAATATGCAGAAGGGATGGGTGTTCTTTCTTGCTTCTCATGCATGTTTCTGTATGTTAATGACTTGTTGGGTAGATAAACTTGTAAGGTACTAGAATTGATATAAATGTGTACAGGGTCCTTTTGCAATAAAACTGGTTATGACTTGATCCAAGTGTTTAACAATTGGGGCTGTTAGTCTGACCATGCATCACTGTGATCAAATGTGGACTTCCTTCAGAGGGTGAAACTACAAGTCTTAACCACAGTGTAACTTACAGTTTCCTAAAAAAAACGTAAACCTGGCAGCTATAGAATACACTATGTGCATTTATAATAGCTATTTTATATATTGTAGTGTCAACATTTTTAAATTAAATGTTTTACATTCACATGTGAGGAGTCTTTGTCATTTGGTTTGAATGGGCTTGAAGAAGCTTCTGCCTCCTACAGATTGCTGTAATCGTGGGCTGCTGCTGGGGCAGCTGAACCTCTGCTGGCAGCAGAATGGAGAACTTCTGGAGTGTTTTGGAGATTTTGAGCGGCTTGAGTCCTTGCTGTGGCCAGAGGGAGCAGAGCCCAGGAGGACTGGCCGAGGCTGCAGTGGCTTTTTGGGGGGCTTTTCTCTAATCAGGGTACAAGCTGAGCTCTGCAGTTCTTTCTTCCTTTCCCGTGGATGCAGGGAAAGTTTATTTTGGAGTTATGACTGGTCTGGCTGAAGCAAAACCACCTGGCTGTTCCCGAGCAGCGGGGGGAGCGTTCCCATGGGATTGGGCTCTGTGGTCCTGGATCTGCACGGGGCACAGCTGATTTTACACCCTGGGAGCACAGGGGCTGCTGAGCACACGGGTGGGATTCTCATTTCCCATCCAGACTTTTGGATGGAAGGTGATGGAACTCAAGCCTTGGCTTCAGGCCGCTCTGGGTTCCTCAGCTGCCAGGCCCTGCTGGGCTGGGGTGGAGGAATGCTCAGGCTGCTCCTGACCCAGGGTGATTAACACCGAGACACAGAACAGGCTCTGCAGGTGAGGCTGGAGCTGTCACAGAAAGCAGCACAGGGAAGTGGTTGAGCCAGCCTGGTTTGATTTATTCCAGTGGAAGGAAGTGGTGTGCTGTTCTGGGGGAAGAGTAGCAGCAGTTCCCACCAGACTCGAGTGAACTGGAGCTGGCTGTCCATGCTCTCCCACCACGATGGTGAGGAAGAGCATGGAATCCATCCCAAGTCGCTCTGGGAGGCAGGGCCTGCACCCCTCGTTTGCTGCTGGGACAGCGGTGCCTTGGTGTGCTCCTTCCTCAGACAAACCACTCTGTGTGCTTAAATCCTGCAGCTGGAGAAACAGGCACTGCTCACCCACCTTCTCACACAGCCTCCTCCTCCTCCTCACCTCCCTGTCCTACACTGCTCCAGCCCCTGGCTCTCAGCAAAAGTCCTGTTCTGAAAGGATGGGTTTTAAACAAGTATTCTCCTATTTTACTTGCTAAAGCTGCAGGGGGAAAGATTCCTTTGATACAAAGTAATTAGGTTCACAACTCAGACACAAAGTTAAGCACCGGCTCACAGTTCAGGTGGGGCTCAGTGATCTCAGGTCAGTCGCCTGGGCAGGTCTCTCCAGGGACCCTGCCTGCCGGGAATGTCCCCATGGGAAATCTGAGTGTCCTCAGTGGCCCATGTAATTCAGGAAGAACCACACAGCTTGCATTTAGGCCAATTGAAAATGAAAAATTCCAAGTCATAGGATTTTTTTTTTTTGTGTGAATGCTTGGTTTGGTGCTGAGCTGCAGTAGCAGCCTCAGCTCCTGCAAGAAAAGTATGTTTAAAATAACATCCCTTGAAAACGGTATTTCCTCCAAGTCCTTACTGGAAACAATGAAGCATCTGGGTATGCCTAGAAGCTGTTTCTTAAAATAAAATCATTGTCTAGTGGTCCTTAAAAAAAAAAAACAAAAAAAAAAAAAAAAAAAACCCACACCAGAGAAATATCTCTTCATCTTAGTAACTTCAACAGAAGGAATTAAGTCAGATCCTGCATGTGGTGGACCAGAACAGAATTCCTGGTATTCCACGGTGTGACTGATGGTAGCTGAAGCCATAAACCCTTCCCTTACCGATCCTGCTGATGATTTCCTCGCATTCTTGCTCAGAACTGGATGCAAACACCAGGCAGTCAAACGTGCTCCCGTCAGGGCTCTCGGGGGAAGAGCTAAAAATGGAAACGCGTCCATTATCCAGCAGAGCTCCGAGCCCAGCCCTGCCTCCCCCTGCACCAGGCACCCTGTGGCTGCTCTGGACCTGGCTTGCTCATTTTCCCAGAGCCACATCCCCCTGTGGCCCTGCCAGGGCCCGCGGGCAGCGCTCACAGCACGCAGAAGGCGAAGATCCTGGGGCTCCGCGTGCAGCGTCCCACGCAGGAGATGGAGGGGTAGGGATGGCGGCGCAGGAGCTGTGCAGGGGACGGGAAGGGGACGCTGTGGTCAGGCCCTGTCGGCCCCGTTCCTGGTTTATTCTGTCCCCAGGACGCCTCCAGCTGGGCTCCCCATGCCACCAGATTCCCTGACCTTGGATGTCACTCACTCACCTTGGAAGATGCCTTCTCCTGCACAAGGACTTCTGCCTCCTTCACGTCAAATAAAACCTCCTGCAGGGGGGATGAGGGGGAAGAAGCCCCGATCAGCACAGCCCTGAGCTCTGTTTTTAATCAGACACTCACCAGAGATTATCCAAATGCAGACGCGATGAAGCACAGTCAGCCTCAGCTTTTTCAAATTTTCTCTCTGCTGCCCTTTTTTCCCCACCACCCAGTGCTTCCACACTTAAATCTTTTCACAAACAATCCCCAGAGGCTCAAACAGCAGTGACCTGAGCCCTAAAGCGCCCCCAGAATCAGGCTTAGCCTTCCCAGAGTTTTCCAAGTGCTTTCCTGCATGCGGTTGCATTTTTTCCTTAATGCCCTTTCCTATCCTGGCTGCTGAGATGCTTCTGACCTGAAAAAACCCCACAGGGGTGATGGGGTGGCAAATATTCAGCCAAGCCAAGTGAACCTGGAGCTGGAAAAAAAATATCCATGGCCTGCATCCTCTGACAGAGCCCTTCCCAGGATGTCCCCAGCCCTGCTGCTCACCCGCGCTGCCAAGTTCCTCTCCAGCACGGCAGGGATGGCCCCCTCCAGCACCTCTTTGCCACCATACTGAAATGGAATGGGAAGGAGGGAATAACCCTTGGACACATGGAAAGAACCCCAGAAGAGATGATTCACTCCCTGGCAGGTCTCTGCCCCACAGCCTCACCGTCCCAACGCTGGTCTGGCCCAGGAACCGCAGGTTGTAGAGCAGCCTGGGGAGAAAAGGGCTCGGGGGGCATCAGAGGAAGGACCCCACACTTCCCTCCTGCTGCTCTTTGCAGGGGAAGATGCTCCCAGCCCCCTCCCCTCCTCACCTCCAGGCCATGGGGGCAGCCTTGGCCCCACAGCCTGGAGCAGAGATCAGGGACAGTGTGGGCACCGTGCCACCCCAGTGCCAGGACCCTCAGCCCAGCCCAGGGGCTGCCCATGGCACAGACCCACCTGCCCCCCTGCAGCTGCCGGGGCTCCCCCTCGCCCCTGTGCCGGGGGCTGTGCTGCAGCTGGAACTGGGGCTCCTTCTCCTTCAGGGCCTTCAGGTAGGGCAGCAGCGGCTCAAAGACCGTCCCGTGGTGCCACCGCCAGCGGAGCAGGCGCAAGGTGAGCGGTTGTCCCTTCAGCCTCTGCAGCACAGCTCCAGCCTAGAGGGAGGAAGGAGCAGAGGGGAGCAGGGGGCAGAAGAGGGGGACAGAAGCCCTCTGTCCCCACCCACCTGCCCGGGGGAGGCGTATCTCAGCGAGCAGCCGTTGATCTCATCGAGGATGTCACCGGCCAGCACCACCTCGTCCACCTCTGCCTGGCTCTCAGGGAGCACCTTGGTGACAAAGACTCGGCCGTCCACGTACCTGGGGGTACAGCCAAGCCTCAACTCAGCCCCAGAGAGCCTGCCTGGCTCCCCTTCTGTACCATCCATGACATTTCACCCATACACCGAATGCAGGGAAAAGCCACCTCATGGACAGCAGATACTGGTAAGGCTGAGCTGATGGGGAGAAAAGCACCCGAGACAGCCCCAATGCTCTCAGCAGGATATTTATTTCCCTTTTTGGGGCATTTTCAGTGCTGTGGGAACCAGATCCCTCTGGAGAGTGGAGAGGAGGATCAAGAGTTCCTACCTGAGCACCATCCCCAGTGCTCTGCACGGGACTGTCTCGTAAATACTGCACACCTGAAAGAGAGTGGGTGGTGACAGTGCCCTTGGCAATGGCCATGGGACACCCAAGGGACCCCATGCCCTGAATAATTTCTGACACTGATGCTAACCCAGGGCTTTGGGAGCCCAGGGAGATGCAAGTCCCAGTGCCCCAGGCTGAGCTGGGACCATCAGTGGCTGCTTGTCTGTCTTCTCTCAGGATTTGGCTGTGCCCAGACCCTGAAGGGACAAGGCTGCCCTATGGATGGGACGGCAAAGCAACAGCAAACCCTTAACTCATTGAAGAGCCCTCCTACCTCACCCTACATGTCCCCATGCAGCCGGGGGACGCAGCTGCCCCTCCCCAAAGGCGCTGCTGTTTGCAGCAGCACTTACTGTCACATCGCATTAGCCGGGGCTCGAGACGCGGCCAGCTCGGCCGGGGGCACTGGCTGGCAGAAATGCCCCAAAGCCAGCAGGATCCCAGGCTCTGCAGCAGCACCACGGTTCAGTGCATGCCTTGACCAGTCCCAAAGCTGCCTCGAGCTTTTTGGGGATTCTTTTGGGTTTAAAAGGTGGTGGAGGGATGCTCTTCATCGTTAAAAGACATGAAGGCGTCCCTGCTGTTCTCAGTAACACACTGATGTTTCACTGAGCAAACCAAGAGTGAAACCAACTGATGCGTAATCTGTGTCAGCCCAGGGAAATGGGGATTTTTTTTGGCAAGAAATCAGGGAAGGGAGCATGGGAAAACTTCACTTATATCAGCGATTTAGGCCTGGGTACTTCTCTTGCTTGGTTTTACTCCTGGGAATGCTGGAATCTGCTCCCGGTGACAGCACAGGTACCCAGCAGGATCCAACCTCCATAGCAGAGGCAGCTCTGCTCATCCTGGTGAACCTGAGCCAATTCACCCCAGGGTGCGTGGCAATCCCTCCCCACCAAACCGTTCCTTATCTTCCTCATTTGACTTGTCAGGGAGGGCCAGGTGGCGGAAGCGGCTCCCGGGAGCGATGGGCTCTTACCGGCAGCAGCCAGCTCTCGTCCAAGAAGCTGCAATTCTGCAAACAAAGGAGTGTCAGCACCATCAGTCCCGGCAGGGAAGGGGCCAGGGCCACACGCTGGCAGCCCTGTGCTGGTCACCACCCCACTGATTCACCACTGCACCTGCAGGTCCAGGGAGAAATCTATCTCTGTCAGCACCAGCAGCAGCGAGAGGAAAGGCTCTGCAGAGGGACGGGGATGGAGAGAGAGGCAGTGTCACTGCTGGGCTCCTGGCAGCCACAGCCTCACAGGGGCACAGCAGAGGACAGAATAAAGCCATTTGCAGTGTAACTAATGAGTCCTGGGAGGGAGGCCTTGAGAACATCCCAGCACCATGCACACAAGTGCTGCTGGAGGCTCATCCCAGGCTCCTGCTGCCGGCATAGGTGCAGCTTGGTACCTTTTTTCCCAAAATTCAGACGAAGATTTGCAAATGCCACTGACTATTTCTCCCGTTAGAAGCCCATCAAAGCTGCCCAGGCTCTCCTACACAAGCCTTGCAATCACACTGCCAGGTCTGCAATCTGCTCATGCACCAGCAGCGCGGGTGATTTATAAACCATTGATGTACAGGTTTAACATGGGGTTATTTATCATAATCAAAAGATTAAAGGCTTCCACCCTGGCCTGGCCCCCCAAGGAGCCTGGCTGTGGATGGGAGTGCTGCAGCCTGTCAAGGCAATGTAAAGGTCATTTAAACCCCTGTGCCATCCCTTAGCCCAGGTTGATCCACCACGGCCTCCCCTCAAAGCCAGACTGGCTCTGCTTAAGCCAGAATCCTTGGTACAAATGAATAACATAGAAGATACTTCAGAAGAAATTTTCCTATCCCATGCCACTAAAGCAAACCTTAGATGGAGTCAAATCATGTTTAAATATTTACACGGTTTTTTGGGATTTTTTTTTTGTTTTTGTTTTTTTCCCCATCACTGAAGCAATGTATTTAGATTCCAGTGCTAAGTTTGGATTAGAAAAATCACAGTGGGCTCTTCCCCCTCCCCTGTAGCAGTGCAGTGCCATAACACAGGCTGCATCCTGCCTCGGGCGAGCCACCATCTTACCCCGGAGATCTTCACTGCCGAGGACGGAGCTCCCTGGATCATAAAACTGAAAGCCAGTGAAATAGCCCAGGTTACGCCTGCATTTCGCAGCCCACCGCCCGTGGGTAGCATCTCCCCCCCACATGCCCACCTCCAGGAGTCGGGGACTCTGTGCCAGCTGCCCCACGGCCTCCGCCAGCACCTTCCCCTGCAGGGCAGAGCGCAGAAAGCATCGCCCGCGGCCCTGCGCCGTCCGCGTCCGCCCGCAGCCCGCGGCTCTCCGGATGCTGGCGGACAGAGGGACAGGCCTGTTCGGGGACAGGGGAAGCAGCTTTGGCAGCACACCGGAGCGTCCTCCCTGCACCGGGGGTCTTTGGGATGAGCATGTCGCGACAGGCGCCAGCACAGCTCGGATTTTCACCCCAATCTAGCTCGGGGGCGCTCACCGGCCGCTGGTCCCCGCGGGGAGCTGCTCCAGCCAGTGCCAGTAATCCCGCCTGCGGAAGCCCCAGGCCGGTTCTGCGGGAGAAAGGGAGTGCCAGACCCCTCGCCGCCGGCCCGGGGACGCTGCCACCGCCCGCCCGGGCACGAAGGGTCACTCACGTCGGAGCCCCTTGCGCAGGATGCTCTCCAGCAGCTGGCAGAGGGACACGAGGTGCGGCGAGGTGTCCGTGCAGGGACCCCCGCCCTCCCGCAGCCGCAGCACCCCTCCTGCGGGGCGGAGAGAGAGCGGCGGCGCCCGTGGGTGCCCAGCCGGGGAAAGGGGAGAGCTACCGAGGGGACAGCTCTGCACGGCCGCGCGGGGGGGTCCGGCACCCGGGGAAAGGGGAGAGGTACCGGGGGGACAGCTCTGCACGGCCCCACTGGGGGGTCCGGCACCCCGGCACGGCACGGCCCGACCCTCCCCGGCTGCCTCTGCTGCGCTGGGCAGGAATTCGGGTAAAGTTCCTCAAAGCCAAGGTCGGGCGGCGGGGCTGGCCCTGGGAGCTCCAGCGAGGCCCCGCCGTCGGTCCGGTCGGACCGGTACCGGTGCGCGGCCAGGAGAAGCTCGCACAGGTGCCGGAGGGCCCCACGCTCACCTTTAAGGGCGCTGAGCAGCGGCTCCTTCCTGGCCATGGGTTCGTCGTCCCCCAGGGCCAGGTGATCCCGCGACGGCGGCTGGATGGGAGCCAGGAACCGGGAACCAGGAACGGGGAACCGGGAACCAGGAATAGGGAACGGGCCCCGCCCCAGGAGCGGAGCGGAGCAGCCCGGCCCCACGGGCGGGGGGAACCTCTCACACACACACAGGTGTACGTGTACTTCAACGGAAAGCACAGGCGCCGATGTACACAGGTGTAACACCGTGACACATGTACCTATTGGTCTGTACAGACATATAAATTCCATGCATTGCATAGGCAGAACCCGCATATATGAGACACACGTGCAAAACAAACACGCATTTATCTGTACGTGTATTAGGACAGGCTTTGGGATATGGATATACGTGTCATAAATCTTCGGTGCCGGCCCCGCCGCAGGTACACACGGGGCGTGTGTGGGCGAGCGCTCGCCCTGTCCGTAGGGATGTGCACGAACAGCGATTCCCAGGACCGTGAGAAGAGGCGGCGCGGGGCGCTCGGGGCGGTGCGGGACCCATCAGGGGCAGTTCGGGGCTCCCAGGGAGGTGCGGGGCTCCCAGGGAGGTGCGGGGCGCTCGGGGCGGTGCGGGACCCATCAGGGGCGTTGCGGGGTACTCGGGGGCGGTGTGGGGCGCTCGGTTCGGTGCGGAGCGCTCGGGGGCGGTTCGGTACGCTCGGGGCGGTGCGGGCTGCTCAGGGGCGGTGCGGGGCGGTTCGGTGCGCTCGGGGCGGTGCGGGGCTGCCGGGGCGGTTCGGGGTGCTCAGGGGCGGTGCGGGAACCATCAGGGGCGGTGCGGGACCATCAGGGGCGGTGCAGTCCGGCCATGGCGGAGCCGCAGGAGCCCGGTTCGTCCTCGCTGCTGGCGGCCGCTCGCCGGGCGTACGAAGAGGCTTTCGGGGGTGCGGCGGTGGTAGCGGCTTGGGCCCCCGGCCGGGTCAACCTCATCGGAGAGCACACCGACTACAACGATGGCTTCGTGCTGCCCATGGTAAGGGCCGTGCTCTGCCGTCCCGGCCCCGAGCTCTCGCCGTGTCACCCTTCCGGGTCCTCCTGGCAGCCGCCCGGGGGTCCTCGGCCACCGCCTTCCCACCCCCTTGTGAGGATGCTCCCTCCAGGATACCCCACCCAGGAGCCTGAGGGATCCTCCGGGATCCCCTGCCCGGGAGCTCGGGGTTCGGAGCCGGACCTGCGGCAGCCTCCCCTGCAGACCGACTCCTCACGGCTTCACGGCGATGTGATTCTCTTCCCAGCCACCTCTCCGAGAGGCTGAAGCCTTTTTTCTGCAGCCTCGTCAAACTTCCCGTTCCCAGAGAGCGATGTTTTGGTAGCAGAGATGGTTCAGAACAGCAGGAGCTTCCTGCTCCTTGCGAGCTGCTTTGGCTCAGCGGCAAAGTCCCCACTCAGTCCTAAATCAAACCTACAGCTAATTACTGTGAGGCCGAGGAGCGTGGGAGCAGGTCAGCTAAATTCCCTGGCAGGCAAGGAAACTTCCCGAAGTTTCTTGGTGTGGTTACCACTCCCCCGGAGCCCAACAAGCAGCACCCGGCACCGAGCTGGGGGGTCAGGCACGTTCAGGGGGAAGACTGACCCCGTGGGTCAGTAAATAGGCAGGAAGTTTAATTCTGTGCCACACCAGAGGGTGCAGCGGGGGCTCTGGGGGGTTCAAGAGAACATTTGGATGCTCCAGCTGTGGGCTGAAGCAGCCACAGCTGTCACCTGCCACCCGAAGGGATGCTCCAAGGGGTGCTGCGGGGTCTGAGCCCACTTTCCCCACCCCCAGGCCCTGCAGCTGGGCACGGTGCTGGTGGGATGCCCCACGCAGGACGACACCATCTCCATCGTCACCACCTCGGCAGAGGCAGATGAGCCTCACAAGGTGCAGTTCCCGGCTCCCCGTCCCAACAGCTCCCTGAGCCCGGGGATGCCTCGCTGGGCCAACTACGTCAAGGGCGTCATCCAGCACTACCGGGGTAAGGCCTGGGCTGAGGGCTGGGTCAGAGCCCCCCTTGCAGGGAACTGGTGTTCAGATCCAGCTTTGGGAGTGCTCCAGGGGCTCTTCTAGTGTCTGTGAAGTCCTGCAGCTCTGCCAGGACCAGGCTCCAGAAAACTCGATCTCAGCACCAAGGTTCCTGTGCTTGGGGGGCTGCAGGGTCACACTCTGCTGTGGGTCACCCTGTGTTCTGAAATGTTGCACAGGGGCTCCTTGTGCTATTCCCTGTGAGCTGTGGGGCACACACAGCCCTGCAGGGGCTCATGGCCCCCCTCCTCCCTTCTCTTCCTGCAGGTGGTCTTGTGTCAGGCTTCAGTGCTGTTGTGGCCAGTAACATCCCCCTGGGCGGGGGCCTCTCCAGCTCGGCTTCTCTGGAGGTGGCTACCTACACCTTCCTGCAGCAGCTCTGCCCTGGTAAGGCAGCAGCCCATCCTGGGCCCTGGCATCTGCTTCCAGGTGGGAGCTGGGATGAGGGGGGTGCCCTTAGCTAGATCCCACAGCCCTTGGGAAAATGCTGCTGTGAGTGGGTAACAGCTCCCCAGGTGGCACTGCCCTGCCAGTGTGGCTCCTCTGGCTCATCCAGCCTGACCTGCCCAGACCTCTTAAATCCATGGACCACTCCTGGGGCTGGCCAGGGGGATGAGAGGAAGTTCCCTTGGGAGCATCCTCTCCCCACCCTAATAGCCCCAAAAATCAAGATACCTGAAACACCAGTGTCAATTATCACATCCAGCTGGATCTGGGCTCCAGGCTGCCATAGATGCCATGCAGTGGTGCAGCAGCAAGCTCCTGCAGCTGCAAAACCCCATTCCATGGGAAAACAACCCTTTACCTCCATGTTTGCTTCCCCTGCTCCCAGACAAGGGACAAAGTTGCAGGAGCTGCTAACCTGTGTGTCTCTGCTGTGGCACAGACGATGGGGATTTGGTAGCCAAGGCCCTGGCGTGCCAGAAAGCGGAGCACACATTTGCTGGGATGCCCTGTGGGATCATGGACCAGTTCATATCCGTGATGGGCCAGGAGGGCCACGCGCTGCTCATCGACTGCAGGTCAGGGTCAAACTTGCTGTACTGTGCCCACCTCCTTGGGCAGCTGGGGGTGAGCTGGCCCTGTGGCCATGAACTGAAGGCAGGAGTGCAGGGAGAGGTTAACCCTTGAACCCAGCCCAAACCTCATCATAGGGGTGGGGCAGCCTGCACTTTAATTCCTCCTGGTCTTGATTCCTCCTCCTGCAACCTTTCTGCTACTTGCCCGGGCTGTCTTTCCTGCCGTCCTTAGGGTCTATTATGAAACTAATATTTGGAGGGAGTGAAGTGCTCGAGTGAAATGCCAAACCAGCTGGACTTTGCCTCTGTAGTTCAGGCTCTGCCTGCTACGTGGCCTCAGGTGTCTGAGAGCCGGGGGGGGCAGGGGGGCATGCACATGGCTGAGCTCTCCCTGCAGGTCCCTGGGGACCGTGCTTGTCCCGCTGAGCGATGCCAGCCTGGCCGTGCTCATCACCAACTCCAACGTGCGGCACACGCTGACGGGCAGCGAGTACCCCACGCGCCGGCGGCAGTGCGAGGAGGCAGCAGCAGCCCTCGGCAAGTCCAGCCTCAGGGATGCCACCCTGGCCGAGCTGGAAGGTGGGGACAGCCCTCTCCTTATCTCTGGTCACCCCTTGGGCCATCGAGAGCTTGGTGCCCCGTGGCTGAGCCCTGGGGCAGGCCGGGTGGGTGCACAGCCCGTGGTGGGAGCGTGCTGCAGGCAGAGAAGCTTTGGCACAGGATGGTTGCAGGATGCAGCCCTGCAGCATCCTGCAGGCTGTGAGGCTTTGCTGCAGGGACACAAATGTCTCTGCAGAGGCCAGGAGCCGCCTGGGGGATGAGGTGTTCCGGCGGGCCAGGCACGTCATCGGCGAGATAGCACGGACAGAACAGGCAGCGCAGGCGCTGCAGCACAAGGACTACAAGACCTTCGGGAAGCTGATGGTGGAGAGCCACAACTCCCTCAGGTGAGGGTGACCGGGGATGCTGACAGCCCTTCTAGGCAGAGCTGGGCTCTGCAGCACCCAGCGTCGCTGCCACGGCAGTGGCTGAACCAGGACACGAGCTGGAGCTGCCAGGGCTGCAGTGTTGTGCCCAGGGTGCAGGACACGGCAGAGCATGGCTCTCCTCTCTCCAGGGATGACTTTGAAGTGAGCTGCCCGGAGCTGGACCAGCTGGTGGCAGCAGCCCTGGAAGTCAAAGGGGTTTATGGCAGCAGGATGACCGGGGGAGGCTTCGGAGGCTGCACGGTGACACTGCTGGAAGCTGGGGCTGCAGACAAAGCCCAGCAGCACATCAAGGTGGGTGGTGGAAAAACCCCAGGAGACTGACTGAAAGATCCCAAGGGACCTCTCAGGGGCACAGCACAGGGATGCTGTTGAACTGTCACTCCTGAGCGGTTTGGGGTTGGTGGAGCCCAACCACGGCCCAGAGTCTCTTGATGTCACTAAGCTCTTGCAGACAGTTCAGTACTGTGCCAGTCACAGAGCCCTTCCCCAGGACGCCTTTGTATTGAGAAAGGGAGTGAAAAAGTGCTGGGGGAGCTTCAGGAAGGCCAAATCCATCCACAGAAGAGTGATCTGAGCTGAGCTTGGGTACTCCTGTGCTGAACACTGGCCATTATAGCCTGGGAAAGATCTCAGTGCCATCACCAGTGTTCCCTAACTCAGCACCTTGGTGTGCACAGGTAGCTGGAAATGCCAGCAGAATGGGGGTGTGAACAAGGCAGAGCATATTTTGCTGCTCTATGAGATCATGGTGTGCTCTGAAAATAGCTGGGGGAGGGGGAAAGAAGGGGTAGAGGCGTGTCTGAAATGAGAGGAGACCAGAAGGGCTTTGGCCTCTGCCAGGTGGGAGATGGGAAACATGACCAGGAGTTACAGTACAGTGAAGAGAGGAGGTAGCGTGAGTGTGGAACTGACCAGCAGGGCCTTTCCCCCCAGCTCTGGCATCCCCCAGCCCCAGAGCCCCAGACTCAACTGCTCCTTTTGTTTTTCAGGAGAAATACAGTGGCACGGCCACCTTCTACCTCACCAAGCCCTCGGAAGGGGCAAAGGCTCTGCCCCTGTAGAGGAGTGACCACCGCCCCTGGGAACCTTGGGCTGGCATTGCTCCCTCCCCAAGGCTTTCCCAAGGGGATCAGTTTGTCCATCTGCACCATTTGCCTAATAAAGCAAAACATTTGCAAGTAGTTCTGTGCCCCTGTGAGCCAAAATCACTTGGGACTGTTCCTCAGAGGATACTGGTTTAACTCCAGCTTGCACTGGTGTAAGGAGCCATTACCAGAGCTGTGGAGGCCAGCAGAGCTGCACTCACAGGAGGGGATGGCAGTGCAGGAGCAGCAGAAGTTCCTGCTTGGGAATCTGCCTCTGGCCCCTGCCCTGCATCTGCTGCAGATGGAGGATAGCAGGAAGCGGGGAGGGATTTTTTATTTTACTCTAAAATGAAAAAAAAAACCAAAACAATAAAGAGGCA